TATGAGCATTATATTTTGTACATAATTTGATATTATGCGGCACAACCCATATATTGTCTAATTAGATTCCATTTTTAACAAAATATGTATTATTTCGTCTGTGGTAAATAGAGTATCCACTATCACTTTCTATAGTACGCTCTTGAAAAGTTTTAAAATAATGTTTTGTACACATACCATCTTTCATACATAGTGCGTTAGGTTTTAGTAAACTACACAGACCATATATTATCATGGTTATTACTGTCTCATAGGCAAGAGGATATATGCGAATGTCAGGAATTTCAGCTGAGACAATAGAGTCATAATTTTCTGTTATTTATAATTTGTTATTTGAGACAAGGATTAATAGAATATGCACATGGGGAAGACCACATTTTTGGAATTCTACTACATATACGTATGCAATAACTTTACCAAGCCAATAGTTTTACACAAATCTTTTAAAAGTGTTTATAATTTTACATGAAACACCCAGGTTGTTAAATCAGGCCTATCAGCAGTGTTTTGATGAGATAATAATTCTCTGATAACTTCTGGTTATTTAGGATTATATGTAAATGTGACAAAAAGATCTGGTTTTCTAAAATAAGTGATAATTGCCATCGCATCCTGATATAACTGATACATTTGATACGGTCTGTCTGTAAAAGAGGATGGAAGGATTATACAACGACCAACAGTATTACTACAATCTCTAGCATGTACTGTGTCGATAATATTTTGATAAAATTCAGTGCGAAGTGATTTTTGATTATACTTAAGGTAAATTAAACGATTTTGTTCTATTTTAGCATACTGATCAACAATATACTGTTGATATAATCTGCCACACATTGTATCTAGTCACCATCTCTAATTGCAATCTATAGAAGTAAAATTGCATAGTTGTTACTCATTCTCTTTTTAAAGTGCCTATGAGTGGTATATCTGTGTACCACCCATCATCACCTTTAGAGAATAATAATACGTAGTGGAGTGGGTCATATGAAAGATGAACCTCTGATATTTTCTGCAAATTTCTATCATGCTTTCTGAGAAGAATGTCCTGATTCGTCAGATTTATCTCATAACCATCGCCTACTATTATTGCAGCTACTTTAGAGGCAGTTGAAGCATTATAATAACAAATGTCTCGATTTCTATCGCCATGAATTATCATCAAAATTTCAGCAGATATATTGTCTTGTATGAGATCTCTAATGCTACAAAAGTTTTGAATATACGGGTTGCAAGTATTTAGCA